AGACATTCTAAATTATTTATTATGTTTTCGCATTCCGCGACACGCGACTCGGCGACCGTCGAGCGCGACGGTCGCCGAGTCGCGTGTCGCGGAATGCTGCTCATGAATATGGGCCTCTAGCATGGCTTGAAACTAGTCGAGTATCTCGTCAAATTATTACGTGAGTAAGCCGAAAACATAATAAATAAATTACTAATTTTGTATGTACTTAAAAAGAGAGAAGAGATTCTGGGGTGAAAAACCAATCTAGATCACGGTTCATTACAAAGAAAAATAGTAACAATCTGAGATCTTTAATCCAGCAACCAACCCAATTCATCTCTAATATCTCCAATAAGCATAAACCGAACCGAACGATTTTATAATTATTTTTATATTAAAGTAAGATATCTAATAAGCAAATAACGACACTCCAATTTTATAAATTTTATATAATATTAATGTGGCATTGAATATTTTCAAATTTGTGTAAGATGATGGATGTTTCTGAACGAATGGGTGACAGTGAGTGAGTGAGAGAAGGATAGTTTCTAGAATAAACGATAGCATGACGTACACTATGAAAGATGCTATTGACATTTTTTTTTTATAAAAACCTGAAATGTACGATTTAAAATTAAGTTATACAATTATAATTCGGTATTCCGCGCCCCTTGATCTCCGCATTATTATGAAATCATCGAATTAGTTCTGTCGCCCTGGACAAGATAGACTAAAACCCACTCCATTCCTTCTCCTGCTTGAGATAAGGGCCACGATACATTAGTGCAATTCATATCCTTTTTCTACCATGAATATAATAACTCCAACAATCAACGAACTGGGTAGTTTTCTATGTCAAAAATAAATTAATTCGATGTTTCAATACAATAAAACATTGAAACATAACTATAAGTAGGTACTTTCATTCATCGATCAATCGATACACAAAATTTTAGATATTTTTTAAGAAATAAGTAAGCTATTTGACTTAAAAATACTATGACGTCATAACTCAGTATTTCATAAAAAAAATCATAGAAAAGTGTCGTTTTTGACATTTGGATAAAAGTATTGAATTTGACTAGTTGGAAACTACCGTATTGCAATCCATTGGTACTAATTCATACACATAAATCCAAACACGTTGTTGATAGGTACCTAAGCGTCAAACATAACATGCAATTACTAGTGTAGCTAGATTGCATTAACATTTCACATGTTTGTGATTATACAGACATACATACAGACATCATATATGTATGAGCTTAAACTGAGTGAAACTGGAATAATAGATTATAGTGATATCAACAGAATGTTACTCTGTATATTAATTAGAAAGCATCTTTGAATTTTAATTAAATACTAGCTTTTGCCGTGGAATAGTGACTCCATTCGCGTGGAATAGTGACTTCCTGCAGATTTTTGGTATGAAAACTATCCTATGTCCTTTCTCGAGTTCCAAACTATGTCTGTACCAAATTTCACACAAATCGGTTCAGACGGAAGGCGTGAAAAAAATTCAGAAAGACAAGAGTTACCTTCGCATTTATAATATTAGTATAGAGTATAAATAGTATAGATGGGATTAGCTTAGACTAAAATGTCAGTCTCCTTTTGAAGGTACTCAAAAAGTAGCACAGATGGGGTCCATTGTGGACAGCGAGTAAGGGTAGCTCGCTGCCCGACCAGAACCACAGAGCCAATAGACCACCACAGACGGGGCCCTATAGGGCTGATGTTCAGCCGGGGTTGCGGGGTAAGCGTAAATGAGGCACCGCGGCCTTGGCCTAGATTAGGAGATGGAACGGGGGCGTTTTTAGTCAGTAAGAGTCTGACACTCCCTCCCGCCCGGCCCTGGGCGGGAGAAGCGATTTGATTGTTTGGCAAAAAAAAAGAAGGGGCCCAATAGGGCTGATGTTCAGTTGGGGACCCGGGTGCAAGAGCTACCATGGACTGCGATTTCAGGAGAAAGAACAGTGTGGTTAGTCAATAAGAGTCTGTTATTGATGCCCCATATAAAGCGTGAGGAATTTTGATGATTTTTCCCTTCCTTAAAAAAGCCTTTTAGTTCAGCTTCCTTCATAGTCCCATTGTGAATGTAGCACAGCGGGGCAAGGGTTAAGTAGCGCACTTAACGCTGTAACCAGATTAAAAGCGGGAAACCCTTCATCGACAGCCGATAGATTACATTATGCACTTAGTTTGGTTTAATGGGTATATAATGTCCCATAAAAGTTGTTTCATTAGTAAGTCTGGGAGAGCTTGGCTTCGGCACGAATGGGTCGGCTCGACCGGAGTGATGCCACGGCCTCACAGAAAACCGGCGAGAAACAACCACAGCGTTGTGTTTCGCCGTGTGAGTGAGGTTACCGGAGGCCCAATCCCTCCCGCTCCCCATCCCTTCCCAAGGCGGGTGAAGTGTATATTGTACCACGGCATCGAGCAAGAGCAGGAGAAAGAACGGGGTGGTCTTAGTCAGTAAGAGTCTGACACTCTCCTTCACTGAACCCAGGGCAAAGATATTAAATACCATCTATTACTAGGAATAGATTGGACATCAGTCTCCGTACTAGAAAGTGATTCTAGTTAGTATTAAGTACCTCAAAATCAATATGAATCTACAAGCAAAAGTGACCTTTATTCATGTCTATTCAATAGCTTTATTACTGTGAAGCACAAATTTTCCAAAACTGAAGAAATTAGAAGGCTCAAACGAATTAATAACTTAATACCCAAACAATACGAATTATAATTCCTCGACAGCACTTTAAACTGAACAATACGGCTTACAGCTTGCTTATTTATAATGGAAGTGAACAAATTCCATTCAAGACACAATAAATAATGAACAAGATTAGTACCTATATAAAAGCAAAGTTTTAAGCATATAAGATAATCATATAACCAGTTTAAGGGAAATTGTATTCTAAATTTGAGACGTAAAAGTTGAAATTCAATTGGTTGTGTATGAAATAGGGACTGTCAAAACTTTGAGTCTCGTTCGAAATGGTAATGCTGGTTGAAAATGTTATGACAGGTATTGTTAAGAAGAAAATGACGATAATATGTTTGTAAAAACATTATATTTAACTAATTATATAGGCTAGAATTTGGCCTTCATGTTGGAATGCCTTGCAGGGTAATCAATTTTCAAGTTTATTACTTTTGATATTGGATTGAAATCAAGTTGCAGCGCTGGAATGGATTGTATTGAAGCTACAGTTTTACTTGTGACAAGTGTTAGTTTTTTTTTTGTGATAGATTGGCAAACGAACATACGGATTACACCCGTAACACCAAAAGAGTTGTGAGTGAGTTGGTGACATTTCTGCGATTAGTATTTCAGATATTTATGACTTGGAAAGGTTTGGGAGGACTAAAACAAAACCCAATCCTCCCCGATTGGGTTTAGTTTTACTGATTCATCAGTTTTTTTATCACTCCATAACATGACTGTTCTTTTGGTACAGTAATTATCATAAAACACACAGAATTAATTGAAAAAATCGACTTACTTACCTAAATAACTCAGAAAATGTCTACTGGTTTCGCAGTTCGCAACTGACGTGTCGCGCACGCTGCTCGTGAATAAGAGTCCCGTATTGACTCGAAACTAGTAGAGCTTCACACAATTAATTAAGCGTAAGTCGTTTTCTTCAATAAAGGATAGTTATTATAATTATAACTTTTCTATCTTGAGTTAATTAACCAAACGGATAGAAAATATGTTTAGACTTTAAAATTAATAATGTATAGTGTAAATGGATAGTATTTAGTGACTTGCCAAACACGAGTAATTTCTCCAGGTCTATCTAAACATTAGGTAACCTTATCTAAACAAATTACTGTAAAATACAGCCTCAAGTTAACTGAAATTAATTTATTGGGTGAAGCCTATCGCGTTCCTAACGTACAACAAGCAGACACGCCATTGTAATTATTAACTATCACCCTTACAAGGGTGTAAGCACCAATCAAAATGTCCTAAAAGCCAGTTTTCAGACACACATAACTCAACCTAGACACGAAGACATATAGTTTAAATTACCTTACATAGACGCGTTGACATTTGACTTATTGTGTGAATTAATTTGTTTAGTTAGTACTAAAGCGATCAGGTCTATAGAGGTTATAGTTAGTATTATAATTTTGGTCCTGGTAGCCATTTTGGTCGTATTTTAGCGAATAAAATGGTGCGATAAGGGGTGAAATACGGTCATTTGATCGTTACAATCGTCGCTGTAGTAATGGCCAATAAAATGCTGTGAATCAACCTAGTAGTTATTTATTTGTTAAATACTGAAATTGGGTAATAACGACACACTCGAGTAGATCTAGATTTAAGACTCAAGTTATTGTTACACAATACTATAATGTAGTGGTTCATTTTCTGTTTTGAGAATGATAGTGTTTTTTTTTTGTAGGATACCCAATACTCCTGTTTTTATGCGTTTACGGAGGAGGATCCTCCTTCGGTTATCTGTTCTAATTGAGCTTTTTTTGGTGATGGGGAAATCAACAGATGACTTCTCAGAGAGGGAGTGTCAGACTCTTACTGATTAAAAACCCCTGCTCTGGGCCGAGGTCGCGTTGCCGCATTGCGCTTACCCCGCAACCCCGGCTGAACATCAGCCCTATAAGGCCCTGTCTGTGGTGGTCTATTGGCTCACCTCAAGCGCTGCACCTCCTCCTTTGCGAGCATCACTGCTTCGCAGAAAGAGGTGACGGCTTCCCAGTTCTGTTCTAATTGCGCCGAGATTGTTATACCGTGATGTAGAAACATGAATGTGATTAGTGCTGTTGCTGCGTGTTGTGCGGTAGATGTCGCTACAACTTAGTTATCTTTAAGACATCAAATAAACTATCAAAAAGTTTTAAACTATTTACTTAAGAATCACCTAAAGAGTTCCTAAACTACTCTTTACCATATTGTCTATCGACAAGTGAAAAACAAGGATATATACATTACTATTTACCCACCACCAGAACAGCACAAGTATATTATATGTGCATCTTACCGGGGCAAGCAGAATGTTACTCGTTTACTTAGCATGCCATGCATCTAACTACGGAACTGCTGGCTCTTACCTGAAACAAATACATTGATTTATTAGATATTTAAATCAGAAAAAGAACATGATTAAAAGTTTGTTTTAACAGTAATCTTAAAATTATATATTGTACTAGCGACATCGCCTTGGCTTCTCCTCTATTCAATCATAATATCTGTTAGAAAAAACGCATCAAAATCCGTTGCGTAGTTTTAAAGATTTAAGCACACATAAGGACATATGGACAGAGAAAGCGACTTTGTTTTATACTATGTAGTGATCACACTTAATATCCGCATAATGACTCAAAAGGATATTTTGTGAAACGAAAACAAAAAAATATCGAGAAATACCTATACGGTCAAAAAATCAAGTCGAAGCTAAGTAAATCTATTTAAAACAATATTCGTACTTCAAAAATGTTGAAAAAATAAAACGGCTCCTTCCAAATCATAGATTATTTTGATGAAAAGGAGCACAAAACTTTACTAAAACAAAAACAAATAGATACATCAAATTCCTTCCATCCCTAACAGACCAAAAGTTCTTTAGTACCTACTCCTCGTGTCACCACTTCTATTTCTGAATACCCTACAGATATTTGCCATCAACCCCACTCACTTAGTTTGTTCAGAATTTTTTCGATTCGTTCCATTTTTAATGAGTCGTTATGGGCAAAGCCGGCGGTAAAACCTATGGGAACTGACCCAGATTGAGTGCAAATATAAATAAACTGTGGTTTTATTTTATAACAGACAGGCTTTTGTATTTTTCCCATATAAATTGTAGCTGTTATTTACTTTCTTGATATTTTTTTTTATCTCAAAAGTCGGTAATCTAGCAGGTGGATTTCCTGATGGTAAGCTATCGGCGCCGCCCACGAACACTCTTAATATCAAAGGAGTAGTACTACATATTACTAAGTGAGGTGCCTCTCTCTTGTAGGTTATAAGGGATTTACGGATAGGGGGACTGAAGATTAGGGGGCGAGGGATTGGGCCTCCGGTAACCTCAATCACAACACCGAAACACAACGTAAGCGTTACTTCACACTGGTTTTCTGTGTGGTCGTGGTATCACTCCGATCCCTTTCGTACCGAAGCATGACCATCCCACACTATTGTTTTACTAACATATGTATTATTTCAAGCCTTCTGGTAATGATTGAGATGAATTCATATATCACCACTTTTTTGTGGGACTCGTAAGGCCTGAATGGACTACATGTTTTACAGGGACCGAGAAGCAGCCACATAAACTTGAACCATTTAAAGATTTAACCTGTTATCTCCACTCCAGGCAAGTATGGTGATTATTGCCACTTTTAGAGGATGTCGTCGAGCAAAAGAAAATCTAATGAATATTTGATTATAGAAGGTCAGGTGTTTAGACCTCTCTTTAAAAAATCGCAGTTGCTTCTTTATCACCATATCCCACTAACAAACAATCTGCCATGTTACTAAAGTATCGATCACGCTTTAAGTCCTTACAGGTTACGAAAATTCAGTCTTACCAACAAAAAAAAACAAATGAGAAAGACTTCGGCAGAGTAAACAACCGCGTTGGCTTACGTTACCAAACTAAAACAAAAGTAGTTCGACTCAAAAGATTTGCCAAGTGAAAAAAGGTTTTGGCGTTGAAAAATATTAATATTCAGATTAAAAGTAAGCTTGTACTCCTTGTAGGCTTATTTTTTTGTTAGTGCAACCATATGATTCTGTGTTTTATCTAGTTTATTCTTTATGAAAGAAGTATAGAACGACTGCCAAGGAAAATGGTATAACTTTTATAATATCTATATTACTCAGACAGAGTACCTATCAAAACTTATTAGTTTTTCAATTTACTTTTCGTTGGAAAAATTACTCGCAATATCGAGTTTAAAACAAATTTATTTTACAAAAAAACTTGTACGGTATTTTGCGCATAGATCTACGTAAGTACCAGGCAAGCAAACCATCTATCGTTCTAAGAGCCTTCTAGAATGTTCCACGGCCGAAGGATGTTTGCCTTCCATTTTTTCTCGTCGCTTTACATTGCCAGTATAAAAAAGTATGAAATATCAGCCGAAGAGTGTTCACACTTCCCGAGAAGTTTGTTAAGTAGCTTTTGTGAGCGAGGAAATGATTTTCCCTTTTTTTGCGCGCCCGGTTATAAATTACACGTGATTTTATGTCGCGAAAGTTGTTAAATAATGTTGAGTATCATAAGCGCTTTTAATTTAAAAAAAGCCTGTATTATACAGACTTAAAAGATATGCTGCCTGCCAAGAAGGTGCATACTAGAATTGTAGCAAAACCGCTTAGCTGCTCTAAACGATATGTAGGTATCTTTTGTAGTTAATAATTTAAAAATAGAAGCGCATTTCCAAAAATCTTATATTAAATACAATTTATCTTATATTAAATACAATTTATCTTATATTAAATACAATTTATCTTATATTAAATACAATTTATCTTATATTAAATACAATCTAACACATTGTAATAAAAGATGTCCAATCATTGAGTTCAAAAAATGGGGATAACCTATTTAATGTCAAAACTGACATAAGCCGCCATCATATATCAAGATGGCGGCGGGCACATACAGAAAGTCCACATATAAACCTGTAATTTCCAAAACTCCAGGAAAACTTTGTAGGAATAAAACTAAAGATTGGCTGCACTATTAACAAAATGTATGATAAAATTTTACTTGTACTTAAGAAGGAATATTTAAACCAGTGGAGAAGAACATACAAAGATTTTCAATTTTGTGTAAATGGGGTGGCAATCACAATAAATGTTATTTTCGAAGGTGTCAATATTATTTATTTGGTGGTCTTAATGGGTTGTCGAAAATAAAATAACGATTATTGTTTAAATAAACATTGCATATGATATTTTCACTAAATTAACTATCGAATATTGAATTTGCACACCTAAATGGTAATTTGTTAAAGTTTTAATTATAATAAATCTTATGAATGTGATTATTGTAATTGAATTTTGCTGGCTCGACCATATTATAGCAGTAAATTGAAAGCCCCGCAATGGTTTTTAAGTAAATATGTACATTACTATTGTTTTCCAATTCTGAAAAAAAATAATTGTAATGTGCAATTTTACGACGATTTATACATTACATACATTTTACCAACATCCGTTAAAATTACCATTATTATTATTATCAATACATGCGTTTCTACATTTTCGTAATTTTCATACAGAATATTAACCAAAGCAGAAATACAATTCCACAAACACTAACAACTAATTACCAGAATAAAAAAAGCATTTTTAAAACAGGCAATTCGCCAAATGAAGCGAGGATTTTATGCAAAAAAACATGGCGGGGCCTCACTGCAGGAGTGGTTAGGCGGGAAAATTGGCCACTAGAGGTGCTCTAGCACTAGTGGCTGCATCACTACGGACTAGCTCGGTGTCTCTTCAGCCAGAGTTACTGTCGAGTGCACGATGTTCTCTAGTCCTAAGTAGGTACCTACTTTCCTCAAAAGATGGCGTTAAGAGGTTATTATTTTTACGGTTGGACAATTTTGATGTACGAATTGAGATTGTGTTTTTTTTGTGAAATTGGTTTTCTTCTTGGAACTGTTTGATTTTTGTCGGTAATTCACGGTTTTTATTTTATTTACACTAGTTGCAGATAATATACCTTATTTACATTATTTATATCATCACTTATAATCATTCAATTGCCCCAAAGGATGATTGGTAATATAGCACTTATGCACAACATAAGCGAAAGAAAATAGATTCACAACACGATTTAGCAACATATTTATAATTTGAACGTAAACAAGAAAAATCGATATTCGGTACCTATATCGTGCTAATGGCTCGATCCCCATACATTATAGGTACATGAAAGCGTGCACACAGGCGATGCCGTGGGATTAACTAGCACCGTTTTGTTTATTTTTTACGCCAATACTTTGATTAAACATTGTAGGGACGATACCCAACACTATGTATGCAGCACGGCTTTGTTTTAATTCTTTGGGGAATAATAAAATAATATAATGAAGAAAATAATAGGTTTTCCTATTCCGTTAAATGAGGTTCGAAAATAAAAACTAATTTAAGATCATATCACATCATCAGCCCCTAAGTGCCCACTGCTGAGCTAAGGCCTCTTCTCACACGGAGAATATACAAATATATGAGCATTAATCACCACGCTTGTTCAAGGGGGATTGGCGATTTCAAACTTAAAGTTAGACAATATAATTCCAGGTTTCCTTACAATCATTTTCTTCACCGTAATTCAGTGGTGTCCAAATGGACCTAGAAAGTACATAAGTATGACTCGGAAAAGGCCACCTTAGTCCTTGCCAGGATCGAAACACTGGCCACCACAGCTAGTATTCTAAGAAGCAATCATATAAAAAGAAAATCTTATCTAATCTTATATAATAATCTTAAAAAATAGAAAATTTCATAGTCCAATCCAAATCCAAACTAATATTATAATTGCAAAAGTAACTATGTCTTTCTTCACGCCTAAACTACTAAACCTATTAGTGTAAAATTTGGTACAGACATAGGATAGTTTTTTAACATTAAATCTGCAGGAAGTCACTATTCCACGCGACCAAACTCGCGGCCAAATCTAGTAATCAATATTCACAAAACCAATATGCAAAAGGAACTTCTCGATTTCAACAACAAAATTGGCGTACAAAGAGACCAGAAAATCAACATTACATAGTTGCTGGCCATTAATCAAGTGGAGTGACATTTAACAATCATGTAAGCAATCACATTTTGTCACTTCAAGTAATTGGCGTACAGGAATAGCTGCTAAAGTGATTAATGATGAATGCATGCCCGACGCGCATAAAATGTTGATTCTATGGAAATACAAGACTGGATTTCGTAGTTTCTGTGTATTAAACCGATTCATTTCTACATAAATCATTCGATGAAGGTAGGTATCGCCGGGTCTGGAAAACATTCTGAAATTATACATTAAGCACTCGTCTTCAAACATATCTACTTAATGGACGTAAAAAATATAACATATTTCTAT